GGTGCAGTGGCGTGTCCCCACTCAGGCCCTTCACTCTGCTGAGCAGGAGTTGACTTCCCTCTCCCCAGCCATTTGGGCCAGCCGAGAGACTTATAGTCTCTCCAGCATGTCCCGCGTCTTCCTTTAGGTCTCCTTTCTCTTGAACATGATGGGAAAACCTCACCAGAGAGGCATCCGGGAGGCTTCCTAACTAGATGCTCGAACAAGCTGAACTAGTTTCTTTTTTTACTAATTAGCTCCACATAATATTTCATTTTAGGTTTAAGAAATGTTTAATGTCATTATTTTGAGAACTACACTCAAAAAGTAATTGTCTGAATAAAATATACATTTAAAAATAAATCAACACAATGCTGTGATCAAAATAAAGCTATTATGGTATCATTTATCAAACAGCTGTCTATTAAAAACTCATACCTCTATTTTATAATTTTTGTATAAATCAACTATGAGTCACCCTTCACATCTGTTTATGGATTTATGAAAAAGTGTCACGTAGTTAACTTATTTGAAAAGACAGATGTTTTATTAGTTTATTGAAAATGTTTTTGTTTGTTTGGAGATCTGAGGTTTTTGTCAGGTTTGGTCAGCATCAGCATTAACTCTCTCAGGCTCAAAATACGTTTTGATTAAAGGACGAACAACTAAGCCCTTCAGGGGTACTTCTGAGTTAAAAAAATGCTCATGAAATGTGTATGTGGAGTAACCAGGTAAGTAGGTTTGCAACGCCTGCCTCCAGAGGGTTAAGGGTTGAGTTGGGTTAAGTTCATTCAGTTAGGAATTCTCTTTTTTCGATGTTAACTGCAAAATAATAAAGTTAACTTAGTTTGGCTGAGATCTAAATGAGTTAAGTGTTTGGGTTCACACGTGAACATTTAACAAACTCAGAATTAGTTTTTGTGCAGATATATTTCTGTCAAGTCAGCCCAACAAGATCCTTGGTGATTCTTTTAAAGCTTTTTCTTCTTTATTCTGTCTTTATTCTTCTTTTTCCCAATTTATTTAGCATCTTTCTGGCATCAAATTCAATGTTTTCTAAATTTGGAAAAGTTGGTCAGTAGTGACGCTGACCCCCCTGAAATAAAATCAGGATTTTTATTTATTTTTTATTTTTTTGCAGTGCTCCATAGACCTTTTCAGTGTTTCTGAAAATGGAATTTTCAACAAAGCAGCAACTTATGGAAGCCCTTTCACCTCCGACCCTATTAACTATGGCACCAGGCACAATGATGAACCAAACCTTTGATGCTTTTAAACTTTTATACCCTTTCATCCATGCCATGTCATGCAATTATATTTTTAAACTAATTTATTGGTAGAATATGTACCAGGAAGGGAAGTTATGACCCTTGTGATTTCCGTCTGAGCCATTTAAACAAGACCGGTTCTGTTTCTGGAAGCAAACAGGAACTCAGTTCTTCCATGCTGGAGCTGAAAACAGCCGCCATGGATAAAATGGCACTATAAGTGGAACACACACAGCACAGCCAACGTGTAAACGGGAGTTCCCTCGTGTGCTGAAAAGCTCAAATTGGTTCTTTGTAAACGATGCACTGAGCTAGATGTTGTAAATTTGGAAACTTGATGCCTCGAAGCTGTGCTTAAGTTTGTACAGCAGTTAATTATGGTCACTGTGTTGAGTGGTTAAAAAGAGAAGCGGATACGTCAAGAGCTGTAGCTCGACTAAAAGCCCTGTCACGGCTTTGAAGTGCGGTGGGACCATGGAGCACCAGAGCCAGATATCAGGACACGCTTCCGTGAGTGGGTGACTGTCGAATCCCACATGCGGGGCAGTTAGGAACACAAATGGGATGAGATGTGAGAGGCCACCAAAACCCTTGACAACCAATTATCCACCTGTTTTCAACAGCTGAGGGCAGTTTCATCAACATGGTGGAAAGTTGCATTTAAAAGTCAATCAGATAGTCACGGGGGAGAAGGGCACACATCTGTCAGTCTATAGCCCTAAAACCACAGAAGAATAAAAAAAACACCCATTAAACTCCACTAACAGCAAGAGAAACACATGAAAAACAATTAGCCACGATACAAACTGTGAGTTAACAACGTTTTTAGGGTTGTGATCTTTTAATTCAATTCAATTCAGTTCAAAAGTACTTTATTAATCCCAGAGGGAAATTGATTAAATGGGCACATCCATCATGAACATATGATTATTTTGATTTTATTGGTAAAAAAACATGAGTTTCAGTGTTTATGTCATGTCTGTGTCTGCGTCTCACCTCATGTGTCTCCTTTTGTCCTCATTCGTCTCTAGGTGCTCCTTTTGTGTCTTCTAGCGCCCTCATGTGTCTCCTGGTGTTCCCCATTTGCCCTCTAGGTTCCTCAGACTTCCCTCTCCCAGGTCCTGTGCTCTCTTGGCCCCCTCTTAGCCACGCCCCTGTAGTTTCTTTCTGTAGTGTTTTCCTTTAGTGTCTGCTTCCCCTTAGTATATTAGTTATGGCTCATGCCTTCTGGTCTTTTGTTTTTCTCTTAGGTCATTTTCCTTTGTTACAGCCTTTCAGTATTTAGTGTTTTTCCCACCAGTGCTTTCTTCCTCCTCCCTGTGTAAGTAATTGTGTTCACCTGGTCCCTCTCCCCACACACCTGCAATTCATCTCCCTCTCATCTTTCCAGTCTATATAAGCCCTGTCTTGTCTCTGTGTGGTTGTCGGTCCATTGTATTGTTGTCAGCGTTTGTTCGTGCTCTAGTTGAGCTTTGTGTCTCTAGTCTTTGGTGCTCTATGTGAGCTTACGGTGTCCTGTGTTCCAGGACTTTTGGATTTTTGGCTCGCTGCCTGTGGATTTATTTTGTTTCGTCCTGCCAAATAAAAGGATTTTTACTTTTTACCAACTCCTGCCTCTTGTCGTCTGGGTAATCTGCACTTTGGGTCCTAAACATCCCGGCACGTGTCAGTTTAGGATAACGACTAAAAATGAACAAATAAAAACTAAACAGGTGCTCGATAAACTAAAAAAAGTTACAAATAAATAATAGCAATCTCAAACACTCATTTATAGATCTAATCTTAACACCATCATTATCTTTTAAACATATTTTTAAATCAACTTACTGTTAGAATTTTAAAATGACCGATCCGTTACCTCTAAAAGATTTAACATAAACTCCCTTTAAAAAGTGCTGAAATGTCCACAGCATATTAATAAATATTCAGCTCTGCCATTTTAAGCTGCTTTAAGCCTCCTGATTTGGTTCACAGGTTCCTAAATAAACGTGAGCAGCTGCTTCTTGCACAGGGGCTCAGACGAACCCGCTACTGTTAAATGGACTTGGGTGTGATTTGTAATGAGTCTTGAAAGTTTTCCAGCCAGATATTTTAGACCTTGTTGGAGTCCCCTCATCCAAACAGCAGGTATAATATTAGCAAGCATGTTAAAAACTTGTGTCAAACCAACTTTTCTTAATGAGAATCACTTTTATTTTTCATTTGCTCTGGTTACAAGTAGGTCACAAAAATGCATCATATGGAGGAAACATGGGTCAGCTCATGCTGATTTATGAAAGTGAAGAAGATAAATGTTTGTCTCCAAGAAGAACATTGTACAAGAATATGGGGGGGAACAAAAATACCTCCTCAGTGCTCCTCACTACAAGTCAAACCCTGGAGATGATGACACTCATGGAGGAAACAAGTGGGATGAATGGGAACTTTAAATAAGCTCTGAAGAAGAACTCTCTCTCTCTCTGTGTGTGTGTGTGTGTGTGTGTGTGTGTGTGTGTGTGTGTGTGTGTGTGTGTGCGTGCGTGAGCGTGCGCGTGTGTGTGTGCGTGTGTGTGTGTGTGTGTGTGTGTGCGTGCGTGAGCGTGTGTGTGTGTGCATGCGTGCGTGAGCGTGCGCGTGTGTGTGTGTGTGCCTCACTGTGTTTAGAGATCATCTTTGTTTCAACTCTATTTTCAAATGTAGATGCTCCTGCAAAACACTTCTTATTGCTCATTCAGCATATACAGGCGCCACCAGAACCAGGTAAATTTGTTTAAAAACAAGTGAATTCCCAAAAATCTGAGCTTGATCATCTGTGCTTCTGTAGAAACTCACCCCTGCTTTTGCAGCCTGGCCGTGTGTTCTTCACGAGACTTATTAAATGATGAAAAAAGACTTTATTCGTTGATATGATTTAAACTAAATGAGTGTTGCAAGACTATTTCTCATCATGAAAGATAAATGTAACGTTTGTTAAACTAAACTGCACAATTCTGCCCCCTGCTGATGTAACCTGGCGTCTGCAGTCTCCTTAAAATGTGAACTCTGGATCGCCTTTGGAGACTTAATGAAAAATCATCGTTATTACTTTAATATTTATATAACTAAATAATTGTGGTGAAGGTATATCTTTTGAACAGGATGTCATAAGGAATTATTACTAACCAGAAACTTGTTTTCTTTTCTAAATCAAAAGTTTTGACCTACTTCTATAAACATCAGTTATTTTCAGCTTTACAGCTAAATTGATTTGTAATTTAAACAATGAAGAGCCCAAGATTCTAATTCCCACGTCCAGCTCCAGACATGCTTCCTATTCACTAAAATCCAAGTCACATCCTGCAGGTTTGGAGTTAATATATTCTCGTAACAAGTTGTCACATAATTGGTGCAGCAGATCAGCTGCACCATCACATCGCATTTTAATCATCTACGTCTGACCCCATCAGATGGATGTCAGGGTTCCTCTTTAGGAGGATTTAGACTGAAAGAGGAAAGCAAGCCATATGGCTGAGGTTGTGCAGGAGATGAGCTCTTTCATTTGTCAGCAGCATGCTGGGGTCGATATTCCGCCTATGTTTATTTATTGCAAGCAACTACAAGAGTCATGATTCCAACTTTCACAAGCAACACTGCGCTCGTCCGACGCAGCTGGCAGATGGAGAGGACATCCAGAAGTAAGACAGAGTATCCAATAAAGCTTTTGCATTAAAATAAAACGTCATGCAAGCTCAGAGCGTGCATGAGATAACTGAAGAGAGAGAGAGCTTATCTTACCACCCCCGTGTCCAGCTGCTCGGTGGTCAGAGAGGGAGCCGCTCCGGTCAGGGGTAGAAACCACAACATTGGCACCAAAAGCAGCATCTCCGGCGAAATTATCCTCATCCTCTTGCGAAGAACCAGAAGCATCACGGCGCCCTATGACAGGCTGATCCTGCAGGGCGCAGACATCGACCCCGACGGCCGCATCCACTGAATAAATCTCCGGAAAATCAGCCCGATCAGGTCTACCTCACTGTGGAGCGCAAACACATAAAACACATGAACCCCGGCGGAGGTAGGGACGGCTGGGTGGAGGGACTCACAAGTTTGTGTCCTCACAAAACACACGTGTCCTCATCCGCTAAACGGGCGTAAGCAGAAGCAACAGATTGTGTACACTTTAGGGGAGGATGAATTAAGTCCGTTATATCCTAGCAGGCAGCGAGGCGCACGCGATCCACTCCTGACGGCGCAGAGATGAGCTCTGAGGAGCGACAGCAGCTGCGAGAGAGGGGTTCCGTCCCGAGCAGAGGTGCACGCGCCCGACGCACGCGAGAGAAAGGAGCGTACACACCAAACGCTTCAGGGGGATGGGGGAGGTGGGAAAGGGGGGAGTCCAGCGCGTTTCTCAGCTCCCGTGGAGGCTGCTGGATTCATGACGCGCGTACTGCGTAATTTGAGAGCCTAGAGGGGCAACAGGAGTTAAAGTCCAATTTGCAAGGGCGGAAATCCCATTTCCATTGGGGGGGGGGGGGGGGGGGGGGGGGGGGCAATAAACAGTAAAACTTCAGAGAGTAATTTCTGGGGGGGACATGAAAAAAAGGCTCTCTACATACAACACTGTTTGTCCTTATAAGAGACTGACATGAGACTCTCTGCCTGTGCTCAAGTGACTGGACTTTGCCAAATGAAACCATTTAGAAGCAATTTCATAGGCATTTCATTTCTTTCTTATAGATCTTATAGATGTCTTTATCAAAATGCAAGTTTCTACTTACGTTCTGGAGCATTAAAAAATGACCTGATGTCTGCTGTTTTTCGTTTCTCTGCCATTTCAACTGACCTGGTCTGCTGACAGTTGGATAGCAACACACACACAGATGGGATATTGTCATTAGAACGGAGCTGGAGGATATTGATCAACAATAATATCTTGGCAATTTTGTACATCTCCATAAGCATCCTTTCTTTTTGTTTTCATTTCAATAACAAGACTGTGGCCTAAAACGGAATACGCAATTCAGAATAAAGATTTAAAAGTAGATCGTTAATAGTTGAAGCAACATGTCCTGAAATGACATGGTTATTAGCTGACCAACAGCTACATGTGTGGACGGACGAGAAGCATTAATTTTAAGTACTAAAACATATCTAACTTTTTCACAACAAAGAGAAAGAACATAAATGTCTAATTAAAATTGTATTAATTCACATAACATGAAAGCTACTAAAATCCAAATAGTTCCATATTGATTTTAATATATTTGAAATTTTCCTTCTAAATATGGCTAGAAAAAATAACAAACTTCAAATCAGCTTTCACAAGTCAAGTATCAAAGTGACTGAAATCTCTTTAATAAATCATAGAAATGTTTGTAGGCTATTAGAGAATAACTCTGTAATATTTAATAACTTTATCTAAGTCCCACTGAATGAAAAGATACACAAAACCTAAAAATATATTCTTGAAATATTTGTTTCATTTTAATAATAAAAATTTAAAACATTTACTTTACAAATACACTAAACATATACATACTCTATAGTTTATCTTTCAGTTTAATCGATCTCTCACTTTTCTCAGTTTTCATAGTGTTTTTGGGTCTGTGTGGCCAACGGGATCTTTGGCTCTATGTTTTACACTGACAGCTTTGAGCAACGTGCCTCCACCACACATTTGCTGCAACCAGCTCATCCCTCAGCTGCATGGCGCACCTGCACTTTGACATATTGTAAACAACTGCAGAGCCTGGGGAAGACAGGATAAGAGCGGTTAAACGCTGTGGTATTCCATATATCGGTCCAGTTAGTTTTGATTCTACCATATTCATCCGCTAAATAGGATGAAACGCGGACATTTTCATCTATCTATAAATGCTCAACAGATTCCAGGGGCAGACCGTGAAAGCATACGTGTCCGGAAAAAGGAACTTTGGGTCACCTTAGTGAATGGAATAATAATAGCGGAATAATCCTGGAATGACCAGAGAACATGAAGTGACAACTTTTTTTTTTTACTGTGGTGGTGGTGGTCTGTCTTTAAGGGATCTCCGACCGGTGATCAAAAGCTAAAGATAATCGGTGTCTATGTTTGACATTTATGACCACGTTTGACATACACATTTAAGTTTGTAGAACAAGCGTGTGATAAATGACTTACTGCTGGAAACCGCTGGCTTTTTGATTCCCGCCTCCTGTGAGCCTGTGGGCTGCTGTGAAGTTGTGAGCGGGGCAGAGCCGGCAGCCCCGCCTGTTGGAAACAGCGCGTGTGGACCGACCGTACCAACTTGAGGAATTGGGGGGGGGGGGGGGGGCTATATTTTTACTCAACAATTAAAAACACATTGTTTTGTATTTGCAGGCTAACTGTTACATTGCAGTTTTAGAAGAAAATACAGGTTTACTGAAAGCATTTATACGTTTACAATAACTTTTGTGGGGGGGACAACTTTGTGTGAGGGAGGACGTGCCCCCCCGTCCCCCCTGGGATCTCCGCCTATGCCAATTTGTAAACCACCGTGAACCTGCCATAGAGGGACTTTGGCTCAGAAATCAGCTGGTTGATTTTTACCTTTGCTCAGGAAGAAGACCAAAACTGAAAAAGAAAAACGTTATTTTGATGAAGTAAATGAATGAATTAATTTATTTATTGTTGCTGGCACATTTTCAGGGTTGTGAGCGGGTGACTTGGTGAAGACGTAGTTCAGTCTAAAGCAGCTGTAGTAAATCTGTGGATCTAAAAGCATCAGTCCATCTTTTTGTGTGGAGTCACTAAGGTCTAAAAGATTAGTCACACATACTCTATAGGTTGTAGCTTTCAGGGGCACTGTTTCTGTCACACCCTGCCTCAGGTTGGACATGTCCCTTTTTTAAACAGGAAAAGTCAGAAATGGGTTTGAACTTGAAGTTGAAAGCAAGAGTTAGTTGTTAAATTCAGATTAAAAAAAGGAAATGTGTTATAGGTCTTTGGTGTGTTCTTGCTGTGTTGAAATTCTAATTCCATCTTTTAGTTCTTTTTAAAACACACAAATGTTTTATTTACCTGCAGCCGCAAACGAAACGTTGCAGGTAAATAAAACATTTCTGTGTTTTAAAAAGAACTAAAAGATGGAATGTGTTATAGGTGTTGCATGTAACCAGAATCATGTTTGCGAGCCTCATGGATGAAGCTTTTCTTGCTCAATCCTCTGCCTGAAGGAGGTATGGGTGAACAGTAGGTCTTTGCTCTGTTTTCATATCCTAATCATCTTCGCAGGACCTTTTGTTTTTCCAGAACAGTTGGGAAAATGTTAAAACACTACTCAAATGATATCTGCAGGTAAAAAAAAACAAAAAACAATGTTACAACAGGCAGCACTGCCAACTCTAAATAAAGTCATTTGTAAACCTTTTTAATCATGCTGGCTGTATTTGTGGCCACTTGTCATTGCAGATTTATGTTCTCCTTTGCAGAGCTCAGACCAACACTTTCACTTTTTGCATAAATTTGCTTGAAGATCACGTTTTTCCCAAGTTTAAATTAGTTTTGATCCGTGTTTACCTCATTGAGTTTCATAAAATTCAACTTCTTTGTGGCCTGGTGGTAGAGTGTCTGCCCTGGGATTGGGAGACCGGGATTCAAATCCCGGTTGGTTCATACCAGACTGTAACAATGGGACCCAATGACTTCCTGCTTGACACTCAGCTTTAAGGGGTTGGACTGGGGTGTTAAACTACCAAATAGTTCCCGAGCACAGCCACAGCTGCAGCACACCACTCCTTACAGGGATGGGTCAATTGCAGAGATATATTTCAGCAGTGTGTAATGACTAATGGGACGTTAACTTTAAATTCATCAAAACAAGTTAAGATTTATCCAGAATATATTTTCAGAATGTAAAATGAAGCGACAGATTAAAAACGGAGATCAGAGATACAATCTGATAATCCAGACTTTATTTATTCACTTTGGACGATCAGAAAGAATTAAACTTTATCACTGACGGGTTACTTCAACAGATTTTACAAACTACTGAGTGTCGTCCTGAAGTTGGAGTTCCGTGGAGTGTCGTGTTCATTCTTTACAACCTTTCTTCCCATTTATTGTTAATAAAAATTTCTATTAAATTTTTATATTTTGTTCAAAGCTTTGTAAAAACATTTGTTTTTGTTGCATAAAATTCTCAACAGTTCAACTTAGTGACTCTCATCTTTGTGCACTGAAAGTGTTATTAGCAAGCAGGCTAAATATAACCAGCAATCACAATTGTTTCTAATATTAACTTTAGAATAAAGGTTAGCTATAAACATCGAAAGGATTACATCACACACTAGTGTGTGTAAGAGTAGAAGCTAGGCCACTGCAGTAAAAACTAAATTTGCACGTGTTTGTGCAATCCTGGATTCCTCATTACGACTCTGTTTTCACCGCATCCAAGTGAACATCAGAGGAAACAGAAAACAATTTGCTAAGCTGCAGACATAATTATTATAACATGAATGTGGGATCAGACAGCTCATTTATCTGTGTATAAAATACTAATGAACTTGTTTATTTCTCTTTCGCTGCATAGCCGTAAAATCCTCCAGGTGATGGAAGAACATACTGTAATGATTAGCAATCACAAAGATTTACATGCCCCTATAGTATATTTTAACTATTGAACAGGCAGCTGATGGAATATATTAAGACATCTGAATACATTTAAACAGTAATTACAAAGAAAGAAGATGAGATAGCCCTGCTTCGGCTCACCTTCATCCTCGGTGAGGAGGAGTGAGATGCCTAAACAAGTGCGCACACTTCAGATCTCTCACTGCAGTCATTTTTCAGAAGAGGAAGAAGAAAAATAGAAAAAATTATGAAAAACATATTTTTTGCTCAGCGGTATTAAGCATTGCTGTGTTTCAGCCCCAGTTCAACTGGTTGCGCAGCCACAACATTACAATAATTGTAGCATCAGAATATTGAGTCTCCCAGCATGCCCGCTGGCAAAGAGAAGCTTCGCTTCTTCACTTTTACATTAAGAAAAGGTTAAAACACCCATTTCCTCATCTCACCCTGCTGTGCACATTTTACCTGAAGTGTTTCACCGAATTCAGACCATTATTCCAGCAAATTCTACTCTATTTTTAATTATTTTTTTGGTTAGATTGTATAAAATATATATAAAAAAAAAACCTTTGGCCAGCATGGAGGTGGGCTGAGTTGTGCTTCTATGCATGGGTGGTTATTTCTGTAGCACCTTGTAGCAAGACCATTCCAAAACTTCGGACGTGTTTTCATCTCAGTTTATACAAAAGGAGAATTTTGTTGTTTATTCTCATCGCTGCAACATGTCATAAAAC